CGACAAAATTGGCTCGTTTCCTTGGCTGGTTGGGGGGGACTTTAATGCAAAGTCACCTGTCTGGCACAGCCCGGTGGAAGATGGCAAAGGGTTTGCGAATTTGCGTCTAGGAACCACCTAGTTTCGCTTAACTCCAGTCCTCTCCCCACTTTTTTCTGCGCAAGGGGAAAAAGCTGGATTGACATTTGCTTTGCCAACCACCAGGCACACCCCCTTGTGGATCTCTGCACCACTATGGAGGAAGACAGTGTGAGTGATCACAGGTACATCAAAATTGTCATTAAAAGCAACGATCCTGCAAAGAAAACAACTAAGTACACTAGCAAAGCCACTGACTGGAACTTATTTGATGAATTGTTTCACACTTACTGGGCTAATCCAATCCACCATGAACTAGCTGATATTAATGATGCAGACGAGATGGCAGAGCATCTTAATGCTAGCATTAGTAACGCTTTTTCTAACTCCACCACAATGAGGGAACACAAACATAGGAATGCCTATTGGTGGAAGGATGCTCTCGATGCACAAAGAAACAGTGTTCGCAGGCATCAGAGATCCTTTGTAAGGGAAAATGATCCCACCCTCAAACAACAGAAAAAGCAAGAGTATATCCAGAAATTAAACGCTTACAAAACCGAGATAAACAAAGCACGCACGAATGCTTGGCGCAAATACTGCTCGGAAATAGGGAATAAAACCACTTGGAGTAACCCCTATCACATCATCATGAAGCCCAGAAAAAACATCGGCATCCCAGCCAATATGGAGAAAGTGAACTGTGGGTACACCACTGATCTGGATGACACGATTAAACATCTTTTCACTATCCATTTCCCTCCAGACGACCAAGAGGAAGATAACCCAGAGCAGAGGAATATCAAGAGAGAAATCCTCTACCCACCTATCACTGACGACGACATCCCGTTCACTTTTACAGAGGTGGCCACTGCTATTAAATCTTTACGAAACAATAAGGCCCCCCGGCATTGATGGGATTACGGCCCGTATGGTGAATAGGGCATTCAGAGCCATTCCTATCGCCTTCGTCCTTAGCCTCACCAGACATCAATTTCCAAAATGCTGGAAACATGATGATGTGAAATTCATACCCAAAATAGGGTCTTCGAACTCAGTAAAAGCCACAGATCTGAGACCAATTAGCCTTCTGCTTATACCGGGCAAGGTTCTTGATGGACGTCTAATCAATAGGATTAACCACCATCTCACGAATAAAAACCACCTACATCCCCATCAATTTGGCTTTGTCCAAGGGAGCTCCACCTATCATGCTATCCACAGGGTAATCCAATTCATAGGCAGTGCCTGGAAAAATGAAGAACACGTAGTGTTGATCTCAATAGATTACAGGAACGCGTTTAACTCTCTGTGGTGGCCATCCCTTCTTTTGCAGCTCAAGACCTTTAATTGTCCACAAAACCTATTCAAGCTGCTCACCAGCTATCTGAAGGACCGCACTACTGGTATTCACGAGTTAGGCACACCTGTCCTCTGGCCTGTTGCCCGGGGTTGCTCCCAGAGTTCCCGTTCCGGACCTGGCCTTTGGAACATCATGTACAACAGCCTTCTTGACATTGTCCCTAACACAACTACCGGCACCTGTGCTACCCAGGGATATGCCGACGATACCTTGGTTATAATGTCCAATAAAAACAGTAAAAAATTGCTGCAAGAGGCCAATTCTTTGCTTAACCAAATTCTAGAGTGGAGCAACTTTGATAAACTATCCATTAACCTAGATAAGACTACCTGCATGCTAATGTCGAAAGGGATTCAACTCAAGAAACCACACTCCATCAAAATAGGAGGTACTAGGATAAGATGCAGTGATAGCATAAAATACTTGGGCATTACTATCGATCAGGGCTTGAATTGGAATATTCACATAAAAAACGCTTGTGACAAGGCCATAAAACTTTCGAACCTTCTCTGCTTTCTTGCAGGGAAAAACTGGGGCCTCAACAACAAGAACTTAACAAATATCTACCGCCTGGCCATAGAGCCGGCCATCCTTTATGGTGCGCCCTTTTGGGGGGACGCAGTGGATAAAGTTTACGTAAAGCGTAAGCTTCTAAAGGCTCAGCATGTCAGCTTCCTCAAGATCACCAAGGCCTACAGGACTGCCCCCACATCTGCTCTACAGGTGATTACTGGCATCTCTCCAATACACCTAAGTGTAAAGGCCAACGCAGCTAGTTGGTATCTCACCAACCTCAGTCTCTCAGATCGTATGAAGACTGAGCTAATAAGCTATCTAAATATTGGCATCCTTCCCAGCCTGGATATGCAACAAACCCTCAGGCTTAACCACAAGAACACCCAAGTTACTCTTCACAGGCATTGCAGGCATCCTGCTTTATCTCCTACCGTTAATCTTCTCACTGATCCTAGTGTTTCCAACATCAACAACGCCAACACCATCTTCACAGATGGGTCAAAATCGTTTCTTGGTACGGGCGCTGCCATCCTGCACAGAAATAGCAATTGTACACACCCGGTCCACAAAAAGGGCTTTAAACGTGCGGATTACTGCTCTATTATGAAAGCAGAACAGTACGCCATCTACAAAGCATTGGTCTACATCAACAATTCCAATCAGCTTCGCGGGAAGCAGGTCTGCATCTGCTCTGACAGCCAGGCCGCTCTTTGGAGCATAAGCAAGAAAACCCAGCGTAACTATCTCCACCAACTCATCACGGACGAACTGAAGAAAAACAAAAGCAACCTCATTTACTTTTCGTGGACCCGTGCTCATCAAGGTGTAATAGGAAATGAAGGAAGCAGATGTGCTGGCTAAGGAGACAGCCACTTCTCCTGTTACACCAAGCTTTGATGACATCCCTACGGTGGCTGTCAAAAATCTCATTAGAGAAACGCTCATAAACATGTGGCAGAGGGAATGGGAAGAAGCGGACACTGGTAGGACTACCTTTAAATTCCTGCCTAACATTCTTAACCGTCTCTCTCTCGACCACATATATGGCAATTATTTCACCAGCCAACTCCTCATTGGCCATGGGAACATTCGCTAATATCTCAATAGATTCCACCACAACGATACCCCCTTCTGTCAGTGTGACAGTGGCGCTATAGAAGATCTTCTGCACTTCATCTTTGAATGCACCTCTATGACACACAGAGAACTCAACTTATTCACAAAGGCTTCATTGAAGGATTCAACTGGCCCTGTACGCCCGATCTCCTCATAAACCCGATCTCCACCTACAACGGACTCACCGAATTTATCCGGGAAATCGGCGCTCTAAATCCAGACTTTACCAACCGAAATCAGACAAGGGACTCTTCACAAGACAGTTGACCTCTACACCAGGGGCCTTGATATAACCGACGAAACTTGCACCCGTTTGTAACTATCACCACTTTCAACTCCGGTATTTATAATTGTTCTATAACAACAAAGCTTTTCTTTCATATGTAACGCGACCTAACTATGTGTACACTCTTTCTTTTCGCATTCTGCACATGTATCCTCCTATTTAAATTACTGTGTTGTTCGTGCTGATGATCTCTCTCATCTTCACCATCTTTCCTATCACACTTTCATTCCCCTCATCCATTACCCCTCCTCCTTTTTTTTCACCCAGGCGATTGCCTTGAGTAGTCCTGGTCTTCTGTTTCTTTCATTAAAAATAAAAAATAAAAATGGAAACTTCCGTGCTAGTGCAGAGACCTGTTTAAAATAGCTCTATTGGATATTGGTGGTGTATGTGAATACGAATAAATCGTACGAGCAGAAAAAAAGGTCAACAGGTCGCGCAGGATATCCTTGCGTGAGATTACTAATTCACCCGGACGGTGAGCCGATTCCCGGACTGTCCGGACGATAGCACTATCGTTTGCGCGACGCAAATATAGCTTAGAATGGTTGAAATTTTTACAAGATATTATTATTATTTATTGTGAAATTTTGACGCCTCCTAAAAAGTGCCGCCCGGGGCGGGCCACCCCTGCCGCCCCCACTACGCTACGCCACTGATCTAAAGCAAGGAATGATTTAAAACCGTTTTGTCGAGAATGGAAATAAATGTACTACTAAATATTAAAATGAAATCAAAAACTACATTAAACGGGAAAACAAAAAAGATAAAATACAATTACTGCTCTCTTCAATTAGTGTATTTACAATTAATCTTGTCACCACAAAGCGGCTTCATCGGTTTAATATTACACATTGAGAGATGATGATAAATTGGTATTTCAACAAACTTTTTGCCCATAAAAGTAACGTTTTGCTTTCTACATTCACAGGAGTTCGAGAAAGATAGTTTTCTTTGTATATATATATATTTTATTTTTATCATTTTGAGATACATGATTTTGAAAAAAGATTATGTGGGCTTTCTCCTGTTTTAATGCTTTAAAACATTTATTATACATTATAATAAAATTAAAACGGAAAGAATAAAAAAAACTGATAGTAGGTTTTATTTCTAAACAAATGTGTTTTTAATTAAAACGATTTTCGACAATATAAATAATTCTGGTTCAGTTTAAATTCAGAGATAGATGGTTAACAACTTTAAAAACCGACAATATGATATTAAATAACACATACAATATACAATTGACGTCGATCCTCAAACATATGTCGATATCAATTGTGTATTGAATGTGTTATTTAATATCATATTGTCGGTTTTTAAAGTTGTTAACCATCTATCTCTAGTTAAAATATTAAAAAGAATTTAAACTGATCCAGAATTATTTGTATTGTCAAAAATCGTTTTAATCAAAGAATTAATCTTCGGAATTTTTACTAAGTAAATGTGTTTTTAATTGTCTTTATACTGTATTACACATGAAAAGATTATTATTGCTTCAAAGGGAGTGAAGTTCATTGCTAAGAAGTCGATACAAGTTATATCCCATTTACCATTCAAAATAAGTTAAATTCTAAAATACTGTTAAATTAGACAAAAGTGGATAAAATTTGTTATGCACGAATATGTATAAGTTACCTTTGCATGATATCTTGAATCTTAAACTCGATTTTCTCATCAAAATATGTTTTCCTGGCATACTCCATGTAATTTGGAATTATGTCAACAGCGATGACTTTCTTTAATTTCGGGCATTTTGGTAAAAGAATACTTTTGGTGGTTCTTCCTGGACCGCATCCAATATCCAAAATGACATCTTCATCAGACCATTTCATGGCTGAAAAGTGTAAATCTATAGCAGATTCTACGTAGCGAGGCAAAAATTTTGGACATAATTTATCATAATCTTCAGCTGTTCCGTTCATATTTTCTGAAATTGAATATAACTATTCATATCAGGTAAATTTGAAAGATGCTCATAAATAAAGATCAAAATATTCCATAAAAAGAAAATCGTAACTTGCCACCAAGAACGGCTAGAAGGCAAAAACAAAAAAGGTGGAAATCTGTCAATTTGGGAATATTCGGATTTAAAGCCCGAGCTGGTCTCTCGAGTTTATTTTGTTGGCATGACTTGTATACGTCGAATCTAGCTCAAAGCAACGGGTCAAATTTGACCGATTCAAACTCTTTTCTTTGTTATAGGTACAGTACATACAGCCGGCAAAATAACACGCACGTGAACGACAGACAGCAGACCGTATGATAAATGCCCTCGTACAGTTCGAAGTAAATTGACAACAATAAGAGATTAGACTGACATATAGTGCCAACAGCCCATCAACTTTACATGTCAAATTTTAGCCACGAATATCTCAGCATATAGATATAATTTAGAAATTCCGATTTTGTCATGACATCTGCAAAAATGGACGATAATAAAACCATTTATATTCGTGATCAACCCGGTCTGCAAGATTCGGTCTTCACAGGCATTGCAGGCATCCTGCTTTATCTCCTACCGTCAATCTTCTCACTGATGCTAGTGTTTCCAACATCAACAATGCCAACACCATCTTCACAGATGGGTCAAAATCGTTTTTTGGTACCGGCGCTGCCATCGTGCACAGAAATAGCAACTGTACACATCCAGTCCACAAAAAGGGCTTTAAACTTGCAGGTTACTGCTCTATCATGCAAGCAGAACAGTACGCCATCTACAAAGCATTGGTCTACATCAACAATTCCAATCAGCTCCGCGGGAAGCAGGTCTGCATCTGCTCTGACAGCCAGGCCGCTCTCTGGAGCATAAGCAAGAAAACCCAGCGTAACCATCTCCACCAACTCATCATAGANGTATAACTAATATTTTTAAAATTATAATATGCAAAAATGATAAAAACTGCTTTGCGAATTAATTCTTATATTTTAAAATTTAAATACAGTTTTAAATATATTTGTAATAATTATTCAAATCTTCAAGAGTGACGAACAGATAAATGCTTAATTAATTTCTACGCAATGTGTTTTAACGGACTGATTGTAAAGTTAACTTTTCTAAAATGCCAAAACCTGTTTTCTCACCTGCAAAGTCTTTCGTGAAGAATTCAGAATCAAATCCAATTCGAACCTTCACGCATTGTTATAAATATTTTGAATCGAAATAAGATCACATGTGATGATTATAGCAGTTTGGCCTTCGGTTAATTAATTAAATCAATTTCGTGCATATAACCTATAAATTTTTGACATTTGCGTTTAAAGTAAAATTAAAATTATGTGTTAAAATAATTAGAAATTGCTCTATGATTCGCACTATCCTATGTAATTAGATGATTAGCAATGCACGACTTGGTTTATTACTCCAATTTTATTCAAGAACTTTTTTAACAATTTTCATATGCCACATTTTGAAAGCCTAGCAGTTTGCGAGTTTCGATTAAAACCCACTTCTGTATGGCTCTAATTATATTATTTCTTACTAATGCGCTAGTATGATAAATTAAATCTTCATTATAAATTTACAGTATAATTTACACTTTTTATAACTATCATTTTGAAAGATTTTGTTGTGACAATTAAAAGACTTACATTGTTTAAAAAATTAATTTATTCGAAATGTGAGTTGGATTTTTCTCCTTATATTCATTCTATCTAAACTCGCTGTAACATACGTCAGGATTGATATTTATATGCTAAATTATAAACTTTTAAGAATTAAGACGATCTTGTTGACAGTCAAGTACTTTTGAAATCAGTAATTCTTTAGAGGTATGTAGATTAATTTTGTATTTAGTTGAGAAAATATATGAATGTAGAAGCTCTGAAAATGCTTCCTTTATAAATAAGTGTTTATATCATTCGAGTTTTTAAAACTTCTTCACAATTTAAAGCTTACCTCGAAACAGTATTCAGCAATTTCGTCTGTTGTTAGTCCTTTTTCGGAATCTTTCGTTGCTTAACTGCATCAGTTAATACAGACATAGCCGATAGTGTAATGAAACATATGTGTATCTATTTAAGAAAGATAAAAGACAATAAAAAATAAGAGATAAAAAAAACGATACAGGGACGGTCTTGTGATGACTTGATAAACATCAAGTCAAGGTGACCTCCGATCTATATATATATATATTATATCTGACGCAGCTGTGGGAAAAAAATGTAAACAACTCCTTTAGAAAAAACGCTCCTAGTGAGAATTAGATCGGAGGTCACGTTTCGTGATAACAGTTTGATAAGTAAGTTGACACATAGGTGTCAAGAATGCACCGTTATTGTCAACATTTGACGGTCATGTAACTTTTTTCCCACGACAAACGAATAAATGCTCGAGTTCCCAGAAGCTCAGGTGATCAAAAAGAAGTTATACTTGTCAATGCGTACATCTCGTCTCCTGGACCACCACACNCTTTTTTCCCACGACAAACGAATAAATGCTCGAGTTCCCAGAAGCTCAGGTGATCAAAAAGAAGTTATACTTGTCAATGCGTACATCTCGTCTCCCGGACCACCATACAGACTCGAACAGACAAAAACAGAAGATATCGGTAGAAGACAGACCACGGCTTCGAACTTCCATACTTATCGCCATACCATCAGGGGCGTATCAATCGAAAATGAGCCTAGGGCACGCATCAAAGTTGCGCCCCTTCGTAAATTATCTTAATATAAAAAGCAGATACACTAAATAAAACAGTCATAAATCTTATTTAAACATATTTCTTTTCTATTTTATAACGAAAGTGAGTCCATAAATTCTTTACATTTACAATTGCACCTTCCTGGCATTCTGTGACGGAAACATATCGATGATGTTTTCGAAATTAGTTTTTTCCGTTTCTTCTCGCTCCACACTGAGCAAAGCTAGGTCACATAACCTTTCTTGACCCATTGTACGAAATACCTCAAATACGAAAGTATTAATTTTAACTTACTGAAAGATCGCTCACAACTTGCGATGGATACTGCAAATTGTGAGCAGAATTTGAATGGAAATGCGCAGATTCGAAAATACACTTTATTCCCCGTACTGCGCAATAAATTCAAGTAGCTCTTCACATTTCTTTATGTTGACGTTTTTTCTTGTAGATATCAGCATTCGGACATCCAATATTTCTTCGTATAACTGTTCCCCGTTAACATCGCAACCCATAGAAATCTCCAAATTTTTTACATTTCTTTTTTAAATCATCGCAGTCGTCAGTGCCGTAACACAATGTTTTAACGTTAGAAGAAATCCAAATCTGGCGTCAGTTTCACGCAAACAAGTAAACCTTTCACTCATTTCACACACACTATGATCCAACGATCCCTTCATTACTCGTTCCATTTCTTCTTAGCGGCCAACCCTGCGTCTGACACACTTTCTCCAGCCATACATTTTTTTCCCCTTCGACACCTTTCCGTGGCTACATCCCATTCCTGGCACAGATTGAATCCTTTTTTTTAATGCCTCATTAACTAACTCTCTCCTTCATTTGAAAAATAGTATCTGAGGGCTTTTATGTCCAAGGTAGCATTATGAAAATGGTTGAAGAAAGAACGTTCGCTCGCTCGAAATTATTTAAATCAGAATTACGTATCACATGTAAACAAAATAAACAACTGCGCAAGAAGTGTCGAATTCGAACGGGCTAGTGCACTGCCTGCGCACATCACTCATTCCCTCTCGCTCATTCGCGAATCGCGTGAGTCGCGGACGAGATTGTTTGATATGAATTGGTTTATTTTGATTTTTAAATTTAATAACTGACGATTTTGTGCGCCCCCTTTGAAAGGCGCCCGGGTCACGTGCCATACTTGCCCCACCCTAGGTACGCCTCTGCATACTACAGTTCTGCCACCAGACTAAGATTCCTACGAACCATTCGACGCATACCATTCGTTTTCTCATAGAGGTATTTTTTATGAGCATTGTGAACTCTCTCTCTCTCTCCAAGAATAGGCTTAGCTATAATACTAAGAGCTGCCCCTTTGTATATTTGTCTAATATTTAATCGTATTTAACCGACTTTATTAAACTTAGATTTTAATAAATGCTTTGTTTATTTGTTTAACTCGTTAACTCGTCTCCTGTCTATGAAAGGACGCCTGTGGACTTGCTCACCTCCCTCGCCACTCGATAAAAACCCATCCGAAACGACAACGTGGGCGAGTTTTACCAACTCCACGTGTCAGTGGCAATTAGGGTACTGACCCTGTGCCCACATAATCTTATATATATATATATATATGAAGTTATGTAGGTACAGGGTCAAACCCTAATGGCCACTGACAGATAATGTAAATAACAATTCACAAATACACACACACACATTTGTGTTTGTGAATTGTTATTTACGTTATCTGTATAATTTTAGTTTTACTCACTTTATTTTAACCTTTTTGCTAATAAAGTATTCGCTTTAATAAATCGGTTAAAAATTTTATTGTATTTTAAACTTTGTGTACTTTTAAAGTACACAAAGGATATAAAGTACTATTTTATATCCTTTTTTTAAGGATGCACCGATAAGCAAAATGGCCGATTACCGATAACCGATTAATCGGCCATGCACTATCGGCCGATACCGATTAATCGGCTCATTAGTGTTAATAATTTATTGCATTAATAGTGTGAGATCCTGGAGTTAATTATAATGCGGAAAAAAACCCATTTTTCTCCACCCGTTATTTCAGTCTCCCTCGGGTAAGGTAAACAAGAGACGATCGAATATCCTTTCCAAATCAACAATCTCTCTTTTTTTTATTTTTTTATAACTCTATTTAAAATTTATTTTGTATTACTAGTACATTCTATATATTAACAGGACTTATTATACTGGACTTATGGATGCAGATATTTAGTCTTACAGTTCAAAAATAATGTTCTTTGTTTAGTTCACCTGTTTAAAATTTATTTAAAAATACAAAATAAATTTTAAATAGAGTTATAAAAAAAGGACAAAAAGGCATAATAATTCAACAATCTCTTCCTTTGTTTCTAAAATATATCTCAACACTTAATTGTTGACGCATGGAAACTTTGACATTTGTTGATTTGGAACGGATATTCCAAATCAACAAATGTCTTCGTTTAAGGGTATTTGGGCAGTTTATTCTCTGTTGTATTCTCAAGCAAACAATACATACAAGTACAGTACAGTATTTTCTGAGGAAACACTCGCACGTATTCTTTTTAAACCCCATTCCCGATAATCCGATAACCCGGCGGACAAAACTTGTCTGAACTATGGCTCAGACAAGTTTTGTCCGCCGTAAACAGGGTTTTCAAATTTTAGACATAGGAGCATAGAAGGACTAGGATATAGTCGCATTGAAATAAAAGGCGAAAATCCTCGCGCAACGTCAGGAGGATCAGGTAGAAGTTTTTCTGATTTATTTGATGAATTAGCCTCTGGTAAACGAAAGAATGAAGAATAGCATGTTTTTAAAAAGAAAGAAAAAAACCGAAAGAGAAGAACAAACGTTTCGATCAAGAATTAGAAACATATTTACATTTATCCCTAATTTCAGCAAAATAGCTATGAAATATTTAAGTGCCTCAGCATCTTCCATTGAAAGTGAAAAAATTTTCAGCACTGGAGGTAACATTT